AATCCTCCCTTTTATCCTGGTTATTAGAAGAAATACATCCCATTTTTATACCTGTCTATCTATCAATAATTCCTTTACGGCTGAATACATTTAAATTTCCCGGGGATTTTTTATGACGTTTTCTGATTGGTTAATGATAGACCAATGAGAATGCGAAATGACACGGACGTACACACAAAAAAGGCCTTATTTTTTTTTACTATAGTAAGAATACCCACAATATTTTTACATATGTGACTTCCTAAAGTTCATGTAGAATCACCAGTTCAAGGATCAATAATTCTAGCGTCAGTTTTACTAAAATTGGGATCATATGGATTAATTCGAACAACAAGCATCAATTCAGAGTTTAATAAAAATTTAGAATGGATTATTATATCTTATAGTTTATGAACAGCACTTACGATAAGGATAATTTGCTTTATTCAAACTGATTTAAAGACAATAATTGCTTATTCTTCAGTAGTTCACATAACATTAGTATTCGCATCAATCACTTTAAACAAAATAAAAAGTATAATAGGAAGTATATACATTATAATTGGTCATGGGATATGCTCGGCAGGATTGTTTTACATGGCAAATATTATCTACAAAAATTCTAAGTCTCGGAGAATTATTGTTAACAAGAGAATATTTTCAATAACCCCTACAGCGATGATAATATGATTTTTTATATGTATAGGAAATTCTCCAATACCACCTTCAACTAATATTATGGGCGAATTTTTTTCATTTAAATCAATTGTTAATTGATCTTTAAACAATATAACAATTCTTTTGATTATAGTAATTATATTTTTAAGATCATAATACAGAATTTTTATATTTTACATTGTTACTCACAGAATTTCTAAAAGATCGGCTGTAATCATCAGAAACCTTAATTCAAAAAACATTAACACTTCTATTATGCTTATCATTCCGATAATATTAACTTCAATTGATCCAGATTTCCTGATTATTTAAATCTAAATAGTTTATAAAAACATTAATATGTGAAATTAAAAATAACTTTAATAAGTTTTTAGATTATTAAAAATGTTATTTTGATAATATATTTAGTTATTTTTATCCTTGTATTAACAACTATAATGATTTTTAGAAAAAATAAAACTATTATAATTGAGTGAAAAATAATATCACTAAGAAGAAGAGACATAAATATATTTTTCTTGTTAGACGAGAAGTCTTCAGTATTTACACTTTTAGTAATAATTGTAACAGCTAGAATTATAATTTATAGCCAGTTCTACATCCAAAAAAAAAAGTAATATTTTTAAAAATCTTAATTATATTTATAGCTTCTATAGTAATATTAATCTTAAGTCCAAACATAGTAACGTTAATTATAGGGTGAGAAGGATTAGGGATAACTTCATTTAGCCTAATTATGTTTTATCAAAACAAAAAATCAGTAATAAGAAGCATATACACAATGATAATGAACCGAGTGGGAGATATTACTTTGATAATAGCCATAATGATCTTAATAAATTCTTCTTCATGAATATTTTTATCAATAGAATATTTAAATTCTAGAACTAAATGAATAATACTCATAACAGTAAGTATATTCTCTAAGAGAGCACAAATTCCTTTTTCATCTTGATTATCAGAAGCTATAACAGCTCCCACTCCAGTTTCGGCCCTTGTTCATTCTTCAACATTAGTTACAGCAGGTATCTATTTGATAATTCGGTTTAAATCAATTATAATAACATCAGGGATAAACAACATTGTTTTAACGGTAGCCATAATCACATTAAGAATAGCCAGAATAAATTCACTACTAGAAATAGATATAAAAAAATTAGTAGCTTTATCTACTTTAAGCCAAATTAGAATTATATTTATTTCTATTTCCACAAATTTATATTCATTAGCTTTTTTTCATATAATTATACATGCAACTTTTAAGTCCCTTATCTTTTTATGTAGAAGAACTTACATTTCTAACAGAAATACACAAGATCTACGAAAAATATATTCAACCAGAATCAATCTTTTAGTAACAAATATAGCTTTTAATGTAGCAAGGATAGTTCTTTGTGCTCTGCCCTTTATATCAAGATTTTATTCAAAAGAAATTATTATAGAAATGATTATGATTACCCCATTGAACAAAATTACTACTTTAACTTTTATTATCTTGATAATAGTAACAGCAAGATATTCATTAAAAATAATAATTATTATCAACATAAACAAAATAAATTTAACTATAAAAATATGAAAAGAGACAAGCAATCAAAAGATTAGAAAAATGATTCTTCTTATTCCATCTGTAATTTTAGGAAACAGAATATCATGATTTATAGAATTAAATAAAAATGTAATTTATCTGTCTATCACAGAAAAATTAGTTCCACCAATAATAATATTTATTACAACAATCACAGTACACTGTATTAGAGAATATAAAATAAACAAACCCAATAAAATTACTAACCAAATATTAACATATATGTGATTTATAAAAAACTTAAACTTAATGAGTAAGATAATATTTATAACACAAAACGCTAAAGTATTAAAAACTACAGAAAAAGGAATAGGAACCAACCAAATAAATTTATTAATTAATTTTATTTATAAAAGAACACACCTGCTATTTAAAACCAACCAGATTCATTTGAAGACTGCAATTTTAATCATAATTATTTCTATAATAATTTTTATTTGTTTTAATAGCTTAAATTTATAAAGCGTGATACTGAAGCTATTAAGATAATTAAAAATTTTAAAACAATAATTAATTGAATTAATTATTTAGTTTAACAAAACACTATTTTTTCAATATAGAGATAAATAACAATTTAATAATTTTGGATAATAAAAACTTTTCAAAACATAGCTTCTAACTATGTAAAAGTAATACCTTTACTAAAGTTTTGGACTAAATAAAATAGAGTTTGATTGTTCAAAATAAGATAAACTAAACTTTAAATTTCACTAGAATAGAGAGTTAATAAAACGGAAAATACAAAAGCTTGAATAAAACAAACAAAAAACTCAAAGAGAAACAAAATTAACTGAACCAAAAACATATAAAACCCACAGTTTCCCAAGAGAACTATTAGTAAGTGTCCTGAAATTATATTAGACATTAACCGAATTCTCAGTGACCAGGGCCGAATTAGCCTTCTTACAGTCTCAATTAATACTATAAAAGAGATTAAGATTAAAGGAGTACCCAAAGGAACTAAATGAGAAAAACACTTATTGTTAAAATTAAACCAACCCAAAATTAAAAAACCCAACCAAAAAGGAAATCCAAAACTAACAGAAAACACAAAATGTGCAGAACAAGAGAAAATATAAGGAACCAGACCTAAAATATTAATAATCAAAATAAATAAAAATAAAGAAATAAATATAAAAACTCTGACTTTTATTTTATTATAATGATAAAAATTAATAAATTCAGTAGTTAAAAATTGCAATAAAGATATATATAAACAAACAATAAAAGAGTTTCAACACCAAAACTCAGAGATTCTTAATAATAAAATCAAGAAAATAGGAAATCAGTTAAGATTCAAATTAAAAAAAAATCTATGAGGATCATAAATCTCGAAAAGCCTAGAGATCATAAAAGTAGAAAAATATTATATTAGCCAAACTAATTTTATTATTCATGCTAGTAAACAACAATTCGTTTTTGTTATAATAAAAAAAAAAAAAAAAAAAAAACGAGAGAGGAGGATTCAATACTATTAAACTTCTTAGCCTAAATCAGTAAAAAAATCTTAATGAAACTATTAGCCATCTTAATCAAAATATTAATATTAAATAAAATCACCATACCGGCCCCATCTGCGGAATTAAACTAAACTAGCCTTCATTAAAGATAGGCGATCTTATCATAATTGATTTAAAAGATCAACACTTACTTTAAGCTTTTTAATGACCTTGAATTTTCTAACCAAACAGAAAATCCCTGATTTAAGACCACTTCTACCATAATAGGTATAAATCTATGATTAACTCCACAAATTTCTGAGCATTGCCCAAAATAAACACCCAATCGATTAACCGTAAAATTTAATTGATTTAGCCGCCCAGGAACAGAATCAACCTTTACTCCAAATGCGGGAACAGTCCAAGAATGAAGAACATCTACAGACGAAACTAGAAGACGCATCTTTAAGCCAAGTGGAATAACAAAACAATTGTCAACTTCTAGCAACCGCATTAAATTAAAGACTATATATGAATCAAATTCAAAACTACTAAAATCTCTATATTCGTAGCTCCAAAATCACTGATGACCTAACACTTTACATGTTAACATAGGATTTTTTATTTCATCCATTAGATACAAAATTCGGATAGATGGAAAAGCTAGAAAAACTAAAATTACCAAAGGTAAAACTGTCCAAAAAGATTCTATAGTTTGATTATCTAAGTCATAACATTTAATTAAAGACTCGAATGTTAAGTAAACCATTATATACATAACAAACACCAAAATTATTAAAATAGTCAAAAACGAAAAATCATAAAAAAATGTTATTTGTTCTATTGTAAAACTAGCACTATTTTGAAATCTCACATTTCTTCACATTCTTATTTCTAAAGAAGAATAAAAATCTTTTTTATAAATCTTAAATTTACTGCACTTTCTGCCACATTAGAAAAAAAAGTTAAACACAGCTCTTTGAAACTGTGATTAAGAGCTGGTTTATTAATTTTTCATTCTAGATGTCTGCTTACACCAAGCTTAAATCTTACTAAACGCAGAAGAAGAAAAGATTCTAAAACAATAAATAAAAAATAAATAACAGAAATAATACTCAAAATCCTTCCCGCAGAAGAAATTTTATTTCATACTAGATAACAATCAGCATAATCTGAATATCGGCGAGGCATTCCCCCCAAACCAAGGAAATGCTGAGGAAAAAAAGTTAAATTTACTCCAATAAACATGATATAAAATTGAGACACCAATCTATAGTTATTTAAGGTTAAACCCAAGATTAATGGAAATCAATAAATAACTCCTCCCACAATAGCAAAAATAATTCCTATTGATAAAACATAATGAAAATGTGCAACAACAAAATAAGTGTCATGCAAACACACATCTACAGAAGAATTGCCAAGAATAATTCCAGTTAATCCGCCTATAGTAAATAAAAATAAAAATCCTGTAAATCAAAGGCCAAGAGGCCTGAATTTATTAGACTTTATTCCACCCAAAGTAGCAAGCCAACTAAAAATTTTAATTCCTGTGGGAACAGCAATAATCATAGTAGCTGAAGTGAAATAAGCTCGAGTATCTACATCTATTCCAACTGTAAATATATGATGACCTCAAACAATAAATCCTAAGATGCCAATAGTCAATATAGCATAAATTATACCCAACCTTCCAAATACCTCTAATTTTCCAGCCTCACTGCTGATTAGATGAGAAACAATTCCAAATCCTGGTAAGATAAGAACATAAACCTCTGGATGACCAAAAAACCAGAACAAGTGCTGATATAAAATAGGATCATTTTGAGGGGTGGTCCTTTAAGAAAGTTGAAGGTGAGCAAAATTTCAAGATTTACTACAAGTATCGTCTCACTTCACAAACAATGTTCATAAAATATCCAAAAAAATTCTAGCTAATGACATCGAAAAATGTTGATAGGCTTTGACTTTTGTTAAACTACCTAATATTGCTATTGTTGCCAAAAATATGTTACTACGCAAGTTGGACGATGGTACGCTTAACTGATTTCATGCCGAAGACGTTTTTAAACATTGAACAATTTATATTAATTTTAAAGATCCTTATCAGAATTTTAATTGTCCTCCCTCTGAAGAACAACATTGAGTCTCCGTCTCGCAATAACAGCGAATCAACAACTCGTGTTTAGCCTTTTATTTTCATTTATTTATTTAAGTATTAATTCATTTATTTATATTTTTATTTTTCTTGGTTTCCAGTTGAGCATGAGAAGTTAATATTACAAAACGCCCCGTTTCTTTTTTTCGTCTTTTTTTGCAGCCTCCCCATCGTTGCTTCCTGCACTACGTTTAGCTGCACGGAGAGAAATGAATGATGCTGACGACAGTGATTCCGCTCCGTTCAACAATGTTACATTGTCACCCACAGGCCCAACATTGCCCACGTCGTACCGCACAATGTCAGCATTGTAATTTCGAAGGTGCGTGTTAAGTTGTGGAGGTAACTTTGTAGCATTGTTGAATGCATGGTCCCGCTGTGGTGAAGCGCACCGTGCGCTTGCTGCGTGGCCCACAATGCGGCATTTTTGTGTTTTTCGCTCTTTGTGGCTGTATCCCGGGAGTATGAGTGGCGGAACATGCAAAAGAGCTCTTTAAAATGATTACTCGCGAGAACAACTACCAAAATCGTAAAAAATTAAATATACGAAACGTGCGGATGCTTTCCTTTGGCATTTTGTTGATAGAAATTTTTCTGCCTTAACCGGGGATCGAACCTGCGACCTACCTAACACTAGCCTAACCCTTTACCGACTGAGCAACGAAGGGACCTGTTTCGGTGGGATGAAAAACCTGTGTATAGCGTCTGTTTGAACGGATCGTTATGTTGAACGCAATTTTTGGACAGTTTTCACCGACAGCATTTTACTATCGTACATATTTATTTCTATTTGTGGTTTTAATGTTTCTATTCTATTATTATTTAATTTTAAAATTAGCCTTTAATTAAAATTAAAATTTTAAAATTTATATTAATTTTATAAATTTAGTCTTTTTTTGCAGCCTCCCCATCGTTGCTTCCTGCACTACGTTTAGCTGCGTGTATGAGTACATGTTCCTCACTCACAACCCACGCGCGTCGCCGCGCGCGGCCGGCGGGCGCGCGATGCAAAGCTTGTCTCGGTCAGCCGCGCGCGGCGCGCGGCCGCGGCTCGACTTCCCGCCCATTTAAGTCGGTTTTCCGGCTGAACGATCAAAGATACGACCAAACGGACCAAATTTTTGCCTTACAAACGTTAATTCGTCAATTTCACCTAGGATTGACTATTCACTCTACCAGAAATGAACGTTTTCGACTGACGCCCTTTAGGGCGCTTGAGAGAGTCCTAAAAATTTTTTTAAAATTTTTTCCAAAAAACATTCCCTATTTGTACACCTCATAGCACGTTTTGAGACCTGGGGAGCTTAACTTTTCTCAAATTTCAAAAATAAGGGACACCCTCGGGCCCCCTCCGGAGCCCGGGCCCCGGTACCAGGGATCCAGTATCCCCACCCCCTTTGTGGCGGGCCTGCCTACCACTGAAGCGCCTAAGCCGCTTCCGTCAATTAATGGCACCGATTTTTTCCAAAAAATTAGTCGAGCCAATTTTTTCTGAAGTGTCTCTTTTCTAACTACCTGAGCCTGACACTAAAAATATGAAGACCCTAAGATGAGAAAAAAATGTTCCCTTCAACAGTTTGAAGAATATTCCCAATAGGAATTGGCCGAAAATTCTAAGGAGGGTCAAATCTAAAATTCAGGAGGGAGGGGAAGGTCCTGGTCCTCTCCGGCCCTAGTAATGCTCCTGCGATTGAATGTACCTATTCACGACTGGACTCATCTCTTAGTTCTTCTCATTTTTCTTATTTTTTATTCATTTATTTAAAATCAAAATCTAGGCTATAAAAAACATTTTCAACACGTAGAGGTATAATCCTTGACTTTAGCAATCAGGTAACTTGATAGAGTGGGTGGAAACACCCTGGTATAAATTGGCAGTACACTGAAAAAAAAGTGGAAGTGGGATTGACCATAATGGTATAGTAAAAAAAAATATGGTGATAAAAAGCCAAATAATGGTCGATTTAAGCATCTAGATGAAAGTGAGAATCATACTCGATATAAAAATTACCATACCCGGATTGTAAATATCAGTTAGGTGTGTCTGTCCATCGTTTAGGTATTTCTCACCATCAGCTGGGTATTTTTTACCATACGATGAGTTAAAAGTACGGAATAACATGGTGACACTTGCGTTTGATATCTGTAGGCATCTGTATGCGACTGGTCATGGTGTTGGTAGGTTAAATTTACCATACTGGTATAGTCAGCGTGGTGAGAGCTCCCGCTTGACTGCGCTGCGGTCTGTGGTCCGCCATTTTTCGTTTGTCTGTTTGTCAGTTATAAATTTATCACGTTGAGGGTCGGAGTCCGTGGCTGTGTTTTATTGATCCATATTAATCCATGTGAATCCACGCGTAATTTGCCCAAATTTGTGTTCGAATTGTCCCTATAGCCACCGTCTTCTCTTCGAATCTATCTATATTGATCTGCCACATACATTTTCTGAGATTTTTTCGTTATTCGTATCGACCAATTTCTGGAGGTTAGGAGTTGCTACAATGAATCTGGCTTGCAAAGTGAAGGAATCCTGAAAATTTGAAAACCTTCGCAAAGTTGTTCTGCAATCCAGTGAATATCGGTTCTGTGTAAAGTCATTTCGAAAACATAAAAGTGCGGAAGTAATTTGAAAATAATCGACTAGAAGTGATTTTTGAATACTTCGTTCGTAGGTACATCTATATTCTTGTTAAAATTTTCGAAGCTCAACATGCTCAGATGAAGAGACAAATGTGCGTGGGATTGATGTTTAACTGTAACTTTAAGCAAAATTTGGCAGCTTCTGCCCCACCGTGAACCGTGCGATTGGATTTTCATGTAGTGTCTTTTTGTGGGTATATTTTGAACTATCTATTTATTATATGCAATTAAATTTTCCGTGGATCTGATTTAGTCTGTAAATGATACCTTAACGCGAATAACAAGTATGGTTTTGGTATCATTTACTTGAAATCAGTGAAGCAATTATCTGCTATTTCTCGTTGAAACTGTCTTTAACTGCCATTGACTGTGTATGTAACGGAATTTCTAAAAGTAAGATGTAAGTAAAATATCCACGACTTTCATCAAAAGCATTTAATAATATAAGATGAGTGGCTTTTAGAATCTACAAGGTTTGTCGCAGCATCTGGATGCTTGAAATTACCATACTAGTCAGTCGGGAACGCCACACTGGCACTGTGTCGCACAGTGTCAGCCGTATCGTGTTATTTACCATACCGGTATATTGGTAACTATGCTGCAGCTTCACTGTGTAAAAAATCAAGTAGACAGTATGGTAAATAACACCCAAACTCTGATAAATCCCACCGATTATTTTTTTCAGTGTATCTGTGTTCCAAAATACCATAGACCTACAGCCGGCTGTAAGATTTCCAATAGATGCTATAGCCGGCTACACAATTTCTTATAGCCTTTTATAACCGATGGCGATTAAACAACAGCCAGGCGATAAAGTGTATGCTAAACGTTACTAATTACGAATGCTAGGACTTAGTGAGTTTTTGGACTACTGCTCTCTTTTTGAGCCGTAGTATCTAGATTTATTTTGCGAGGAAAGCTCCGTACTTTTGATGGATGCCTGCCATTCCTAATATATTAGAGCGCCTTCAGTCTCGTATGATACTGTGCAATACCCCTGGCTGGTGTGAAATAGTTGCCTCAAGCGCTGTGGCACACTGCGGCGCGGCAGGCGGGCAGCCAGCGCGATACGCGCATTTGCGCCTACAAACCTAACAGGGATACTTCACGCGTTGCGCAATGCGTGAAGTATCCCTGTTAGGTTTGTAGGCACCAGTGCGCCGCCGCTCCGCTTTGTGTTAGGCTCTAATATTTAATCTCGTGGAGTCAGCGCTTTTCAATTCATGACTTTGAAATGTTTGCACACTCTGTATGGATTATTCTCATTTTAATTGATGAAAGAAAAATATGTAGTAAAGGAAAATATAATGTGCGTTTTGTAAATATTAAGGTGATTCCGTACAAACTTAAGGATTTAAAAAGCACACGAATTTCTACACAATTTCTTATAACCTTTTACAATCGATGGCGAAAAAGCAACATCCAGGCGATAAAGTGTCAAGCCCGGCGATAGGAACTATAGCCCGGCTGCACAATTTTTTATCGCTTCGTGTAGCCCGGCCGTATGATTTTTTCCACTTCCTACAGCCAGCTATATGATTTTCTATCGCCTTACTTTAGCCGGCAATAAAAATTCCTATGGTATTTTGAAACGCAGTTCTTATCGCCAATTTTTACCAGGGCAGGCTTTGAGTAAAAAAAATGATGTTACGAGAAATACGTGCTTAAAGTTTCAAGACGTTGTTATTTAAAACCTGATGCATTTAAAATCAAGATATTTTTCAGTTATGATAAAAAATATTTCAAATTTTAAGTTCCATTAACTTTTGGGTTATGGTAGGTACTACGTCAACAAGTGTTACCGGGAGAATTCTGTTTGACGGGTTACACGCCCTTTCTTGATAGAATGGGTTGCTTATGAGAGTCAGGTTTTTTGGGATTAGATTTAAAATAAAGGGAAGGGTAATGAGTTTGAAAAAAAAAATTGAAGGAAGAATAGGAGAATTAAAAAATCAAAATGATATTTGTCCTAATTCGACTACCTCCTTACTGTCGTCTTCTTAAAATAAAGGAAAGGTGCCGAATTTGAGACTTATAAATTGTTTTAAACGAAAAATTCGAATTACTTAAAGAGTTATCTCAAATGTTAGTTTGCTAGCTGAATATAAGTTACGGTAAGAAAAAATAAAAAGGTAAGATATAGTTTATGGGTTGAAAAATATTACACGTTCTCTATACACGCTTGATATAGATACTAAAGTCTACCTATCAAATTTTTAAGAATCATCTACCTATTCACTGCGTGGCTAGAATGTAGGTACATGCATCTTTTTTCTTTCAATGTTTTAATGGACGAAACTCAACCATGTTGTTAAAAAGTAACCATATCTTGTTCAATTTCGGCACTAGGGTCATGAACATATGTGTACACATCGTCATCTCCCGGCCAAAGTATCTCAAGCGCCATGCGACGTTTAAAAATGCCCACCGCCATTTTACTTTTTTACAGAGAAATTGCTCTACGAACCTGTCCAAAAATTTCACTGAATTTTCTTTGTGTTAGGTATCGACAAAATTGAGTGAAATTTTCGAACAGATTCAACAAACCATTTCCCTGAATAAATAAAATGGCGGCGGAAATTTTTTAACGTCGCATGGCGCTTATGATACTTCGGCCGGAAAGTGACGACATGTTCTTCAGATTACGTTTAATCACAATAGCCGATCGGCCGAGAAAAAGCCAGACTCGTGCCCCTCTCCTGTCGACTCTCATTAACCGTTTTAATATGCTGCAGAATATTTCAATCACAATCCATGGATGTTATCAGAACAAGAAATTTATTGGGACAAGATGTTGGTTTTATTCTTCAATCGAAATATGACAAATTTTTATAGATATACCGTGATGTAAAAATGAGACAGAATTTTAAATAAGCTTTCAACAGGTAGACACCGAGTGCAATGTCTGGTGCGGAGGTATCTCTTCGAAACGTCCTGGGAAACAACTCATACAAAATGGGGAACTCAGGCGTGCGCTCAAATAAAAAAGAGGATAAACAGAAACTGAGAGAGGGTCCATGCTAACAGGCAATACATTTTAAAACTCCATAAGCATATCAGGCAAGCTTTCAAATTTGACTCATGATTCTATCAGCGCATTTCTCAGCGATCATGACGGTAACAGCGCTGGAGTCGGACGAGAATATCCTGGGCAAGATGGAGGAGTCACCAATGCGGAGGTTATCGAGTCCGATGAACCGGAAATCAGGATCGACGACTGCCAGCGGATCGTCGGGCAGACCCATCTTACACGTGCCGACAGGGTGCTTCCGCGGAACTGTCAGGTGTCTGACAGCCTCCATCCAGTACTCCCTAGAGCCGATAGGGTAGAGACAGTTGTCGACATACAGCGGTAGGAACTTGGCGCCGAATTTCTGGAACACGGGGGAATCCTCCAGGCCTCGGACCCAGTCGATTCCTCCCAAGACGGAGTAGATGTCCTCCGGGTCGCTCAAGAGCTTAGCGTCGATGACCGGGTGGTCGTAGGGGTTGCTCGTTTCCGGGTAGACGGAGCCCACGGACTTGGGGTACAAGAGCGACACGCCGAACATGGCGATGGAGCTCTCGCGGTTGATCTCGCGGATCTTCTTGCGGGTGGCCTCGTCGTAGCCGAAGACGGCGAGCTGCCCGTTGAGGAAGAGAGAGTCCTCCTTGGAGAAGTAGTACGGGATGATCTGGAGGTTCGGGACGTCGCTCGTGTTGGTCTTGACGAAGCCGGTGTAGCTGGTGAGTCCGATGTTGGTGATGGGGCCCTTGCGGTGGGCGATGAGCTCGTAGAGCATGTCCCCGACCGGCCACTGGGCGATCGGCGGCGTCTTGAACGTCATGATGGCGCCCGGGAAGAGCGGGTGCATCTGGAGGTTCTTCCCGACGCCGGGACGCTCTTTGCGGAGGATGGTGCCGACGCGCGCCAAGTCGACCGGGTCGCCGATGCCGGAGTTCTGCAAGACGTGCGGGGACTCGATAGCGCCGGCCGTCAGGATCACCTCCTTGTTGCAGTACAACTTGACCAGGTCGCCGAGCCTATTCCGGAACTCGACGCCGATGACTTTGGTGTTGGCATCGTCGAGGAGAAGCCTCGTCACGTAGGAGAACTTGCAGACTTTCAAGTTGGGTCGGCGCCGCACCTCCCGCGGGCTCAGGAAGGCCCTGGCCACGTTGACACGGAGACCGTCCTTGATGAGCGCCAACGAGGGGGCGAACCCGTCGTGGTCGATCTCGGTGAAGACGTCCTTGCTCGTCATCCCGAGCTCGGAGATGCACTGGCCGAACGACTTGCGGATGGAGACGGTCTGGCTGTTGTAGAAGGAGTCGACGGTGAGGAGGCCTCCGGAGTTGTGCGACGCCCGGATGGTCGTCACCTTGGTGAAGATCTCCTCGCACCTGGCGTCCTCCGATTTCATGTAGTATTTCAGGCAGGCTTCGTAGCCCCAGTCCGGGAGACCGATTTCGTTGAATTTCTCGTAGTCGGATGTCATGCAACGGTCGTAGATCATCAGGTCGATCGCGGAAGTGCCGCCCAGACCGCGGCCTTTGTACAGCTTCCCGCGCTGGTACTCGGATGATAGGCAGCTGTAGTTGTCCGCCCTCAAGCGGTAGTTCCATTCGTATTCCGTGTCTGCGGCCTCTGTCCATAGCCTGAAGTCATTTGAAAATAAAAACAATATTAAACAGTTGAATGGGATTAAGCGATAGAGGATTTGCAGGTGTCGAAAATTTGATGAATTTCGTGTTTAAATGAAAACTACTATGAACTGAACACAAGGATACCTTTGGTTCATGAATTGAACAATTATTGGAGAGGATATGACTAAATGGACGTATTTCTGTCAAACGGAATTAAGCGCCAATTTGAGTTCCTTTTGAAGAATTTAGAATGCCGGATAGCGTGTTCTGTCAAATGGAACTAAGCGCCATGGAAAAGCATTGCTAGTAGGTATATGGCGGAATGAGCCCGACGCCCGGATCCGCCGCCAATACAACCCCCCCCCCCAACTACCTTCCTCTCCCTATGGCGCTTAGTTCTATTTGACAGAAATACGTCCAAATGATCTAACTGCTAAAATACGTGTGTATTTAAATGGGAAATGCCGCCGGATGATGTCACTAAGCGATGCAATTTCTCACTTTTAAATCTATTTTTATACTATTTCCCATAAAAATCTGGAAAAAATTATAAAAAATACTGTGAAATCAGCTCCTTGAGCACTTTCAGGTGAAGCAATATAAAATTTACATGCAAATTCTCCATTGAGACATATTGATGGAATTAGGCAACATTGACACGTCTATATGGGAACTTTAAAAAAAAGAGCCTAGGGGTTTAGTGTTTGAATTTTGTCTTGAATTTCGTCGTATGGCTGAGTTTGGACTAGTGGGACACTAGACACAAAAGGAGAATTGATGGGCTTGGAGGACAAGGCGCACAAGTGCAGTTTTTGCTATTTTGAGAAATGCCGTGTTTAAAGTTTCATAATTACATGGAACTTCATGGCGAAAAGGAAGTTTAACTGACTGTTTGATGTTTTAAAGTTGGATTTCAGTTGTGAATTGTTCATAGAATGTACTTTCAACCTAGTTTTAGTTAAGTTCATGGATATCTCATTTTTTTCAAAAATGCACCTATGCGCCTTGTCCGCCAAGCCCCTACTTTAAGATATTAATTTCTTAGGAAGACATTAGTATTTAGGGGAAAAATGCAAGCGACGCGACTTTATAATTTAACGAATCTGCGAGCACGATATTGATAACAACGCCTTTACAGATGCGACTACACGTGATTGACGGCTGCCATTGTTGCATATTTAATGAATTGAAGGCGCACTGGATGTCCTTGTGCTCACAGCGACACGCGTCGCGCCTCGCGCGCTAACGTGCCACATTGCAGGAGTGACGCATGACGATAGTTTTGATGAACATTTTGACAAAAAATATCGTTTTCAAATAAAAATGGGGACGTGACTTCACATGACATAATTTATCAAAAAGGCGAGGGTAGCCGGCCTGTATGAAAGGTATGCAAGAGAGGTATAATGGGTGGGGGAAGGAGGCTAGAATTCTGAATTTTCAGAGTTCAATCCCAAGGGAAATAGCGACGGGTTTATTCAGATATCTACTTTTCATACGAGAGAATTTGGCAACGTAATAATGAGGGGCTTGGAGGACAAGCCGCATGAGTGCAATTTTCGCTTTTTCAAAAAATACGTGTTTAAAGTTTCAAAATTAAATAGAGCCTCATTGCGGAAAGAAAGTCCAAACTCACTTCTTGGTTCTTAAAAATTGAATTTCAGCCGTGGATTTTTTACGGGATATATTTTAAGGCTAGCTTTACTCGAAATCATTGATATCTCAATTTTTTTTTTTCAAAAATCATACTTACCTAAGCGCTTTATCTTCCAGGCCTCTCAAAAGCTCATACAGTACAGCGCTCTCCGTCGATACGGTAGTGTGCTACCAGAGATGCAAAAAAATTCATGAAACTTTACGTATGAAACTTTAACATGTTTCATAATATTTTTAAAAATTCTGCAATGGACTCAGTATGGAGGAGCGCACGGAAACAGTAAAATCTTAGTTTTGAAGATTTGGAGGACAAAATTATCAGTCAAATTTGGAAATTTCTTCAAGAATTTCCTGATAATTATTGCATACACTGTCCCTGAAAAACCGAAAAAAATGAAATAGAGAATTTCATCAAGAACGAAAGTTCATTTTGCATCCCTGTGTGCTACTGTGAGAGAGTTACCAAACCTCCAATAAAATTAGTATTTTCGAGGAGAGTTACGAGTATTTTCTCTCGAAATTTTCAGATAATTCAGATCTAATCGCGAATAAAATTCTCAGAAACATTATCCGAGAAATATTCATAGATTTCCCTGAATATTAATATTTTATCAAAGGAAATTGGACGTATCTATGCTAAAAGTAACTAGAGACAGGGCTCATGAGTTACAGGTCCCCGACTGTCTCATAGTGGATCGAGTCAATCAGAGAGGCTGAACATAAAATTATTGACTAAAACTGCAAATTTTGATATTTATTTCGTCACATTTTAAATTTTAAAGGGTGCTTATAGAAGAAAGTTTCACGAGGAAACCAGTTGAACCACTTTTAGAATCTCAAAATTTTGTAAAGACGGAGTAATAAGCTCTTAAAGTTTCCTAATTATGCTCGACCTCTCCTATTGACTCGATCCACTGTGCGTCCTCCCCTGTGCCGGTCGTCGACGTTGACGTCATTGCTGCTCTATAATTCCCATTCCTCCTTGCGGTTCTCAACTAACGAGCACATTCCTTCTTTCCCACCCATCTCTTTTTCTTTCCCACCCGTCTCTCTTTCTTTCCCACCCCTTCTCTCCTTCTTTCCCACCCCTTCTCTCCTTCTATCCCACCCGTCTCTCCTTCTATCCCACCCGTCTCTCCTTCTTTTCAGCATAAAAACGTCCAATTTACCAACGTCTGAAGGCTGAAACGGCGAAGTACTCACCTGGGGAACTCGGTGATCAAGCTGGGATTGCCACCAGCCTCGAGACCGATGACGGAGTTGGAGGGGATCTCGGAGAGGCGACTGGCGATGACGGAGCCGGCGACCCCGAGGCCGACGACGATGTAGTCGGCGGTGTCGTCGTCCCGGAGGCTCAGGCTGTTGTCGGCCGGGTAGATGATCTCCTGGACGATGTCGCACTGGGCCTTATTCAGGCTCTCCAGGAGCTTCGTGAAGGCCTTGATGGAGTAGAGGCCCTCGGAGTCGTAGCCGTAGCGGCGACACACTGAGACCGGCGGCGGCGGCTTGCTCATCCGCTCGTTGTACCCGAAGACGTCGTTCCGCCGCACCACCTTCGTCGTCGTCGTTGTCGTCACCGTTTCCGTCTCCTGGACGACCTGCTGCTTCTGCCCGAAGCTAAGCATCGCCAAACCGCCACGCTTCTGCCTCGCCGTCGCCTCCTCCCCTGAAGTGCATCTGAAATCCATTGCTTTCATTGACGGATGTGTCAGGAATTTCGACTTAAGCCCTGGATAGACGATCAAATTCCGAACCAATTCCGATCATGCTGATGACTGATGGTCACCATCTACCATCAAATTTTGACGGGCCGCACTTATTTGTTCAAAGTAAGATCAGAATGGAGTGCCATTATTCATCATTTCCTGCCACAGGAAACATTTCTGCCAAGTTTTCATTTTAAAATGAAGCAAATTCATGAGTTTAAGACTGATGACTCCCGACGCTTTGATGCTACTTTGATCGGAATTGGTTCGGGAATTTGATCGTCTATCCAGGGCTTTCGCTCGAGTATTCTATTAGCTCCGAGTTTGAAAAGGCCGTAATGGAGGGGATATCCCATGCTATCCTGAGAGTCCACCCAGATATCAAATTAAACTCTCCAAGCAAAGACAGGGAGCATGCATTAACAGGGATGCCACTTTGGTGTCTGGGGACTCCAAAACTGAAAACATGACACCCCTGCTGATCTACTTGCTCCCTAATTTAGCACGGAGATTTTGACTAGATCCAGAGGTGAGCTCTCAGGGTAACGTAGAATATTCCCTCCTTTACAGCCTCAATTTTGAGGGATTTTTTTTGAGCTATAATGATTATGTGAGAAAAAACCAGTGTCACCATCGTGTTTCTAGCGAAATTTTACACAGGAATCAGCATTTAAATCGCAAATTCCTGACACATGCAAGAGCTCCATTAATGACAGCGAAGAAAAACGTATCCTTGATGGCTCTCTGCTTGCGTTTTGTTGCGGAGGACAACCTAGGTCTGAAGACAATCAAGGAAAAAAGAAAAACAGATGTGGATGTGAGAGTTGTTCTTGTGTATTCTAGTAGCTCCGAGTCCGAAAAGGACCTTAATTTTTCCCCGCTCATACCCCAGATTCCCTTAAACGAGCTCTTTGAAAAAAATTTGCTCCGGCACGCCTTCAATCTGTACGATACTTCACGCCTTACGGAGAAGTTCGTTTAGTTGCTTAACCCAACGTAACGCAACTCCGAGAAGGGAGAGTTTACGTTGACATTAGTACTCAAATAGCAATCGACGGTGTAAGTCGGCAATCACATAACTGATAACTCGGTTTGCAACGTCGCAGACTTCCTGTCATACTTTATATATTTAAACGGAAAACTAATCAACGGCAATTCATCAAAACTGCCGTAATTTATTTTCTCTGTACGAAGAAAATCCTGCATAAACTTCAAGGAACGATGTCAATTTGTTCTCCTTTAAAAAAATAACATAGAGGCGGAGACTTTCAGACACCGCAAACGAGTTATGTGATAGCCGACTAACACCGTCGATATCTCGTTTGCGGTGTCATCTCCGCCTTTATGTTATTTTTTTGAGGGAGAACAAATTGACATCATTCCTTGAAGTTTTTGCAGATTTTTCTACGCACAGAGATGGAAAATCACGGCAGTTTTAAAGAATTGCCGTTGAGCAGTTTTTCGTTTAAAAATTAAAAGTATGACAGGAAGCCTGCGACGCCGCAAACCGAGTTATGTGATTGCCGACTTACATTGTCGATTGCGAGTTGAGTACTGATTCCAACGTAAAATTTCCCTTCTCCGAGTTGCGTTACGTTGGGTTAAGCAACTAAACGAACTTCTCTGTAAGGCGTGAAGTATCGTACAAATTGAAGGCGCGCCGGTACAAATTTTTGCTATGAGCTCGTTTTTGAGGGTAACTGGGGTATGAACGGGGAAAAATTAAGGTCCTTTTCGGACTTGGAGCTAATAGAGTACATGAGAACCAATTCTCACATCCACATCTGTTTTTCTTTCTTCCGTTATCAGTTAGTTTATTAGTTATTTATTAGTTACACGCTTTTCTTCGCTGTCATTAATGGAGCTCTTGCATGTGTCAGAAATTTGCGATTTAAATGCTTATTCCTGTGTAAAATTTTGCTAGAAACACGGTGGTGCCACTGATTTCCTCTCAAACAAACGTCAGAGCTCAAAAAAATCCCTCAAAGTTGAGGCTGTAAAGGAGAGAATATTCTACGCTACCCAGAGAGCTCACCTCTGGATCTAGTTAAAATCTCCGTACTAAGATAGGGAGCAATCAGCAGGGTTGTCATGTTTTCAGTTTTGGAGTCCCCAGACGCGAAAGTGGCATCTCTGTTGATGTATGCTCCCTGTCTCTGCTTGGAGAGTTTGATTTGATATATGGGTGGACTCTCAGAATAACGTGGAATACCCCTCCATTATGGCCTCAATTTTGAGAGTTTTCTTTTTCTTAATCTGGTAAACAACAACAATCCTTCAACAATCTCTCTTCTTTCTCCCTCAACAATTATGTAAACGATATTGACGCAAAAGCTGAGAAACACGTACTTCGATTTGCGACGGTGAGGATTTTTGCTAAACATATACTTTTCCAGATGAAAACCAACAAGCGTAATATTTCATGGATTTATTACTGATTTTTTTCTCATCTTGTCCTGTGCAAATATTTTGTGAAAACTTTGAAAAGTAACGTTCACTGGGTTTTTATAAACTGGTTCACTGGATTTTTATGGTGAAACTACCAAACCACGTATTTTAATTTGCGACGTCGTAGATTCCCTGTTATACTTTCTTTTTTAAATAAAAATGTCATCTAAGTCAATCGAATAGGGCTTGGAGTACAGTTTTTGCTATTTCGAAAAACACGTGTTTGAAGTTTCGAAATTACATGGATTCTTATGGCGGAAAGTAAGTTCACAGTGACTTTTTGATGCTTGAGAATTGGAATTTGGGAGCTTTATCTCAGAATACGCATTAAGAATAGTTTTACTTGAAATCGTTATTATCTCAATTTTCAAAAACTGCACTTATGCGTCATGTCCTCCAAGCCCCTCAATTATTGAAAACTTCCGTGATTTTTCTTCTATGTGCGAACAAAATTCTAGGAAATCTTTGAGGACTGATATTAATTTATTCACCTTCAAAAAAAATAAAATGGGAGCGGAGAATTTTTAGACACCGCCAACGAGATATGTGGTTTGGTAGTTTCACCGTCGAAATGAAACAACAACGAAGATTTTGAAATGTTTCACCATCAACATGAAGCCTCATTCAAGAAGGAAATGTTCTCAAGTAGCCTTTCACAACGAGAAAATTGCGATATTTTGAAATTAAGTAGCGATTTTTCACGATTTTTGACGATAAAATCGCTAGGTTCATCAACATCCGAGGGATTATCCTCAATCTTGCGGCAATTTTATCTCTCTAAGTTCACGTCCAAATTTATCACGATTTTTTGTTCGATAATATTGCGATAAATCGGAATTTTATTGCAAATTTATGCGATGAAATCGCAATTTTTATCCGGTAATAACGCAATAAACCGACGTTGATATAATCGCGATACACCCTCCGATCAAATCGCAGCTCATCGCGATCTCTGCTATACTTGAGTAGCAGGGTTATGTTCACAGTTTTTCCTTAAACTGCTCCATTCCCTCGAGAGGCTTCCATTTTATATTCTGATTGGGTGAGGTTTAAGGTGATTCGTTAAGCTCAAGTGACGTGGCCGAACTGGCATGCGATATATCGCATCGATTAGGTAAAAAATCTCGGCATATTTTGAATTTTTAGCAAAAAAAAAAGGACGATAGCTCCGGCGCATGAGCCTATAGAGAATCAATCTAAACCCAAAAATTGGCAAAACTCAGAGAAAGGAAAGCAGAATAGTGTTTGCATAAAACCTCGCATTCGATTCCGCTATCGATTTCTGTATCGAATGCGATAGGTTTTTTTCCAAGCACTATTCTGCTTTCATTTCTCTGAATTTTGCCGACTTTTGGGTTTAGAATGATTCTTTAGGCTCATGCGCAGGGGCTATCGTCCTTTTTTTTTGCAAAAAATTCAAAATATGCCGAGATTTTTTACCTAATCGATGCGACATATCGCATGCCAGTTCGACTACGTCACTTGAGCTTGACGAATCACCTTAAGGAAATCCTGAAAATACCACCATAAGAAGGTCAGTAGGTTCTTACTTTGTAGCTCTTACTGTTTATTTAGGCAAAGACTTACTGTGTCAAGATAAAAGCGAGAACTGCAGCCACCTGCACTGCGTCTCTGAAGGCGACCATCGCGGTTCACATACGGTGCACTCAGCACCTCATTAGCGAATGGGTGCGCGCTTATATACTTGTTTTTGTTAACAGAGCGGATCCAGATTGACACTTATAATGAATAAACATTTGAACACGGATATGGTTAACTCAAGAAACGCACTGTCAGTGCATAACTGCATCGACGCGTGTTTGTTTTAACTGTTGCCCATCACTGCAAGACTGATGTCGTCACTTGGAGAGCTCGGGTATTTATTACGTTCTTAGATGAGAGATAGTTGGTAGCACAACTTCTTCACACAACTTCGGTAGCAGCTTCTGCATATTGATGATGAAACTAAGGGACCGTCCTTCAGTCACTAAACGCTCCAAAGTA